CCCAGGGCGCGAGCAGCAGCAGGGCGCTGTGCAGGGTGAGCCCCTCGCTCAGGACCAGCAGGAAGACCTCGGTGTTGAGCACCACGGCGTACAGCAGCCCCGCCCACATGAAGAGCAGGCTGCTCAGGAAGTAGCGGTAGTTGCGGAAGCCCACGCACTGGCCGAAGAAGACGCAGTGGTGGTCCCGGCGCAGGACGCACACCCCGCAGTCGTGGCAGTGGGAGCAGCGCGGGGGGGTGTGAGTCTCGCAGCTGTAGCAGTACCTGGGGGGGGCAGAGCAGCGGTTAGCGACCCGGCCTCACACGGAGCCAGTCCCCAGGGCGACAGGAGGGACGTGGCAGCTGGTCTGGCTGCTCGGGTCCGGTTCTGTTAGACCGGGAGGACAGCTGGTCCGGCGGGTCGGGTCCGGTCCTGTTCTGTCAGAACACAGGGATGCAGTGCTCAGCGGTGCTGCCTCACAGCGCTGGGGCACAGGGTTCGATGCCGGGGCTGGGGTGCTGTCTGTGTGGAGTTTGCATGCTCTCCCGACGTTGGCGTGGGCTTCCCAGTGCTTGCTGGGATAGACCCTACGCTGGAAGACGGAGGCACCGGTGTGAGCCGCCTTCGCCAGACCTACCTCCAGCCCTGGCCCATGCCCTCCCCTCCGAGGAAGACCCCCCGGACGCTGGGGTCCGTCCTGAGGAAGAGCACGGAGTTCCAGGCGATGTTGCCCAGCATGAAGGCCTGGGCGCCCAGGTGGGCCGCCTTCCACGGCGCCGTCCAGCCCGCCCGCCCCGGCGCCTCGGCCAGGACCAGGTAGCTGACCTCCGCCGTGATGGACAGCACGAGCAGCGTGTTCACCACCACCGGCAGGCGGCGGCACGCGCGCTCCAGCCGGCCCCACGTCCGGTAGCAGAACGACCGCATGCTGGACCGCAGGCCGGAAGCCGGAAGTTCGAGTCGCTGGGCAACGACAAGTCGTTTGCTGTTGGTGGGGATTTTCGGCCAAACAATGTAACGCAAAAAACGTGTGCGTGCTTCTTTCAATAACGCCCCCCTCTTCCCTATAAATACGTGGGGACAAGTACAGCCCGTCTACGCTAGAAACGCAGATACAATACGAATCTTCTCGCTACCCGCAAAATCAAAAGCATAGTGTTCGACAATACACAGAACGTTAATGGCCGGAATGGCGCCGTCGTCTCATCTGTAATGAACGTCTCTCCCTCTCCTTCCCCTCCTCCCGGCGGCTTCCAAACGCATCTCTTCGAGAACAAAGCCGACAGCGATCACAGGCAGGAAAAATAAAAACGAGGATCGCCTCTTCCAGGCTTTCGAGAAAAACGAGAAAAAGTACAAATGTTTCGGAGCTGTAACTGACGCCTCCCACGCTCCAAATAATAATAATAATAATAATAATAATAATAATAATAAAATAAAAGACGGGTACAAATCTGGCGGTTTTAATAGAGAAAGTTCTGCCCAGCGCCTGCTCCGCGGACACACCGCGACGCGCACAGGTGTCACAGTTAAAACAGTCCCCTCCCCCCCTGTCCCTTCCCACTGGTTCCGAGCCGCATGTCCGACAGCCGGGCTACCCCACTGGGACGTAGCAACAGTTACAAAAGAGAGGTGGACTCAGCCCGTCCGGAAACAAGGGGTGTCGAATTCGACAGCAGGACTGGGCAGCCTGTTCCACACTCCCGCCACCCTTAGTGTGAGGTGGTGTCTACGCTGTGAACGCCTGAACCAGCTCTCCTCGTAGGCGTGTCCGTCTAAGACACCTTAAATCCTGGAGGGTACCTGTCCGCTCTTTGTCGGATGGACTCCAGAGCCGCGATGTCTTTTTCTGTCAGGAGGAGACCACAATTCAACTCAGTTGAATTCAAGGTGCTTTATTGTCATGACCACTGAGTAAAATCAGTGCTGCCGAAGCCAAACAAATACAATTAACATAAAAAAAATCTACAGACATTTACAATACAAATACAAAATCACACACAGTATTCTAAAGGAACCTCAGCTGATTTTTTTTTCAAATATAGATTTTTTAAATCTGCCTAAACACCATTTTCGCTCCCAGTGGACACACACACGCCCCCCCCCCGAGGTTTTGACACTAAGAAGATCTGTGCTCTATCCGCCTGGACTGATGGGGGAGGGCGCCGAGCAGTTTAAGCCGGGCGAGATCGCAGTGTCGCTGTCGGGGGCGGACCTGCTCGGTATCGGCACGGTACCGCGCAGTGGAACCCCACTCGACACCCCACGTGTCTGTTTTAAAGAGACCTTTGGGGTCCGGGCCGCTCACTCAGCGCCGTCAGTCGGGTGTGTCAAAGGGGACGCGTGTCTGCAAGACGCTTTCGTGAGCGCCGGGCCGCTCTCCCGCACCCACCCGGTAATCCCCGGCAATCCGCTCTGATCCACCCGTGACCTGGGTCCTGCGCGTCCGGGCTCGAGGATGGACCCGCGGCTCCTGGGCGACAGCGGGCTGGGGGCGCACGAGGGGCTGCGCCGCAGGTAAATTCACCTGCCCCCTGCCCCTGCCCCTGCTCCTACCCCTTCACCTGCCCCTGCCCCTGGCCCTGCTCCTACCCCTTCACCTGCCCCTGCCCCTGCCCCTGCTCCTACCCCTTCACCTGCCCCTGGCCCTGCTACTGCTCCTACCCCTTCACCTGCCCCTGCCCCTGCTCCTACCCCTTCACCTGCCCCTGCCCCTGCTCCTACCCCTTCACCTGCCCCTGGCCCTGCTACTGCTCCTACCCCTTCACCTGCCCCTGGCCCTGCTACTGCCCCTGCTCCTACCCCTTCCCCTGCCCCTGCCCCTGC